CGGGGTCCCTAAGAGGGAGGGAAATCCCCCAAAATTATTCTTTGTCCCCCCCCCCCCCTAATGCTTAAACAACTCTATTCAAACAACTATAAGGTTTAGAAGTGCGTTCTAGATTATTACACAAAAGCTGAATGCAAGTTAAGTATTTCTACTAAATAGTTTTGGAACTAACTTTAGTTAAAATGATCCAAGTTAGATATACAGTCTTCAATTTTATTAGAAATCAACATTTAGAGCTTGCCGTTTTCAGTATCAATACACAAACATTCCGGACACCTTCGCTAAAAATGGTTCGCAGGTAAAAAATAAATTCCATAGAAATGATTGATTACGCCACTAACTTCCATTTCTTTTTTGTTTGTATTTATGCTATTTTGATTCCTTTTTTTTCTTGTCAACGTCTTTCACTAAGAAAGGAAACAATTCCTCTTCAAATGGTTCGCTTTCGTACGATCAGAAAATAATTTGTGTTTTTGACAGCTCCCAAGATTTATTTTTGATCAGTAAATCCTTTGGCTGTGCTATACAGAAACCTATTCAAATAGATGCGTGCGCTATGTTTTTTATACAAAAAGTAAGATCCTGCATTAATTAGGTGTATGAAATTCATATAAAAAAGTAATATTTTTTAAACGTGGATTTCGTGTATGTCCAAAGATAAGAAACCCTGTAACAAAATAATGAAATATATCTCAAAGGAATAAGATATGATAATACATAACGCTCTTCTCTAGCTCTTCAGCACGAAGTGCGAAATTTTGTACATGTATGTCTCTTTCATTTCTACCATAATCTCATTTTTAGCCGTTGTTCTATTTTAATCGAGTTTATTGATGTGAATATATGATTTTCCCTGTTTACTTAAGCTGCCTTACACACACCTTGAAGGTACTAGGTATGTTACTGTAAACATATTTCTTTGTTTTCTCTGTGTTACTAAAGTGTGTAGCAAAGTAATGTTATATTTATTGTAAAACAGTAGTGTTTCTCGTTGTTAATAAAATATACAACCATTTAACGGTTTTATCTGTATCTGGATGAGTTTATGTCTGCAGCTGAAAATGTATGCCGAGAAAAATAATTTTGTATTGAAATGCTAGATACATGCGTACTGCAATGTATTTTTTCATTGTGTTTGTGTGTGTGTGTGTCTATCCATATTTCAACGCATTTTTTCTCTGTGTTTGTGTGTGTGTGTGTGTCTATCCATATTGTAACCTATATGTGTGTCTAAGAGCGCGTGCTTGATGCAGCCTACAGTACATTATTCCAAGCTTTTCAAGAAATGAGTTCAACTCATTAACAAATTGTTTTTTGTTTTTACAAATAGACGTTTCACCAGCTGAGAAACGATTTTGTATTTTAATCGAGTTTATTGATGTGAATATATAATTTCTCCCTGTTTACTTAAACTGCCTTACACAGACCTTGAAGGTACTAGGTATGTTATGTTAATTTGATCTGAATTAAACTTATGATACGTCAGAACCTTCTACTGAGTACAAAACGTACCACATTACCTACGTCTATCGACTAACTTTGTTCTAAAGAAGAAAACGTTCATACAGTATAAGAAAATTCTTTACCTGATCTACCCATACATTTGTTGTCATCAATTGGTGTTTCAAGTTCTGGAAAAAAAGTAAAAGAATCATAGATAATAAAATATCTTCGTTACATATTACACGTACATATTCATAGCCGTATGTCGTGATAGCATACTGAATTTACAAATTCATCTCATTATAATACTAATAAGTCACACTAACACGTTCATATTCATCGACACGATAGTACATTACACAAGCATATCTAAGTCCATTAACAATAACACGAAGAACCTAAACATTAAAGAAACCCATGAAAGTTCTATATGGAGACTAATAACGATTCTGTTTAAATAAGACAGAATCGTGGAATATAAATTCATATTTTCTGGATAGCTACTTCACTAGATGAAAATGTGGAACAATAATTACCACTCAACACCATTTTTAGTGTAACTAGCCGTTGTTTCTTCAACATTTACAGAATATTGTAAAAGCCATCAAAGTGTTATTGTATATCAACAATTTTTATCTACTATTTTAGTAATGACGATTCTAATTTGCTCATTTACTACAAAGATAAATCAGAGATACAGAGAACCACATAGCGATCTGTCTAATATTAAGAACACTATCACATTACTAAAGAGACAAGAAAAAAGCGAATATAACTTTCTATCCGCGGAGAACATATTCATTAAAAAGAAACCGAGAAATTATTAACAAATGTTATCACATAACTACGGAGGAAGGTTTTGTTTACTGTTAGGCACAAAGTTACACAAAGGGCTATCTATGCTGTGCCATCACGGGTATCGAAACCAGAGTTTTTAGCAATATAAGGTTTCATACTTACCGCTGAGCCACTGGGGGGGGGGGGATAGTTAATAGCTTCAAACTGTCTTGTTAGAATTTTAAGATCATTTTAAGAGTCAAAATAAGTTATTCTAAGAATGAAACGTTACTTGAAGGATCAAACAAACGCACAGGGAGCTAATTTTTTAATTCAGCAAGTTTTTGTTTTCATGTGATTCCAAATATACAGCAGATAGTGAAAGTAGATTTATTGGCTGTTTGAGGTATCTTAATATTAGGATTTCATCACACAAGAAAGGATTATATCTAAGATGCTACTCTTAAGTTTTCTACTGATTTCAAAATATGTTAAACGTGGAATGTAAAAATATATAAAGAAGCCCAACGAAATGCCTACTTAAAAACGGAAAATATCGAGGTCAGAAGCACTTGAAAACCCGAGAAATAGAGGTTAATTTAAGTTATTCTCAAATGCAATTTTAACACTAACGCTTCTTATTTATAACACCCATGATTCTTTACTTACTATGTCTATAAGTTGTGCTAGTCGAAGTCCGAGATTGACCGTCAGTTTGTCAGTATGATTGCTGACCGGACGGATCAGTCTGTTGTAACCGCTAAGGATATCATCAAGTAGCCGTTTGGCATCCGGGTGTGCTCGGCATCTCTCGCTCCCAGCCAGCAGCCCCAGGACCAGAATCGTTCCAGAACATAATATCTTCAAAACCATTCGATGAATACTCCACATTGCAACAAACTTTGCACTTTTTTTTTTTTCCCAGATCGCTACAGACTTGCCAAGTTTGTGGTTAATATTTCCCTCTTATATCACATGGAGGTATTTCGTCGATGTCATTGATTCAGAGTTTAGGTTTGAGGAAGTGGTGCCTATATCCTTTTCTAAAACGGGCGTCAGATATTGGTTGTGGTGCGCACAGAGTCGCAGACTGCGCACCACATGCGCTTTATTCCGACTGGCAACCGTCTTTGCTCTACTAATCGATCGTGGATTCCACCAAATATGTTTTTTTTTTTTTAAACACGTAGATACCAGTTTCCCGACAAACTTCTCATTCGTTCTCTGGAGTGTTTGAGAGCCAGAGTAATTCTCTCAGCCTCTGGACCACTGCCGCTCCTATCGAATCGATCTCAAACGCAACATCTGTCTCTGCTAGCAAAAGCGCCCCCTACTGGTAATAATGACTGCTTCCAAAAATGGAATCATATATTTCAACGTGTACGTCCTAGTGCAGTCGTTTCTTCTCGTGCAAGAAGTGTCGTTAAGCTGTTATTAGTATCATTTCAGTATAACATTTCTAACTACGAGTCAGGCTACATGATTATGGCAAACTATACGCAATAAATGATAAATAATTATGATTATTAAAGGTAGTTCTTACTCAGATTGTAACACGAATAAGGTATTAAGAATTTATAGAAAACTACTTTAATTTTTATTATCACAAGTCGACTTATTAAGAAAAAGCTGAATTAGATTCAGAGACAGTTCAGAAAATAACAAAAAGCAACAATAACAAATCTTATTAAGTTTCATAAAGTGTTTTGAACTTATACACACACACGAACAAAACATAAGGATAGCACAGCCTTAATCATATAGAAAAAGCTGTTAAAGTTAGAAGTGTGTGAATACAAAATGTACAGTAATTTGCTTAGGAATTATCAATTAATATTCAAAGATAGACAGTGTTATAATGCAAAGTTTAAATTTTCACAGCTTTTTATTTTTGTAAATTTGTTACATGTCAGCATAATGCATATTTGTTAAACTGCCTAGAAAGAGTATATCAGGTGATTATATTAACTCTAAGACAACTTCCGAGAAGGAAAGTTTTAGACTGATCATACCAAATCAACCATTAGTCTTTCAGATAGGTCTCCTTATCATATCAACTATTAGACTTTCAGATAGATCGCCTGATCAAATCAACGATTAGACTTTCAGATAGGTCTCCTGATCATATCAACCATTAGACTTTCAGATAGGTCGCCTGATCATATCAACCATTAGACTTTCAGATAGGTCACCTTATCATATCAACTATTAGACTTTCAGATAGGTCGCCTGATCACATCAACCATTAGACTTTCAGATAGGTCGCCTGATCATATTTACCATTAAACTTTCAGATAGGTCTCCTGATCATATCAACTATTAGACTTTCAGATAGGTCGCCTGATCACATCAACCATTAGACTTTCAGATAGGTCTCCTGATCATATCAGCCATTAGCTTTCAGATAGGTCTCCTGATCATATCAACTATTAGACTTTCAGATAGGTCGCCTGATCATATCAACCATTAGACTTTCAGATAGGTCGCCTGATCATATCAACCATTAGACTTTCAGATAGGTCGCTTGATCATATCAACGATTAGACTCTCAGATAGGTCTCCTGATCATATCAACCATTAGACTTTCAGATAGGTCTCCTGATCATATCAGCCATTAGTCTTTCAGATAGGTCGCCTGATCATATCAACCATTAGACTTTCAGATAGGTCTCCAGGGTGCTAGTTGTCATACCATCTTTATTCAATTACCAAAAAAATTCAAAAACTCAAGAAATAATTTAACTTAAATAAATACATAATAATAATAATTACAAACTAAAATACACAATTAAGGTATATTAAGGTTCCTAAAGCTATTCCTAAAATAAGGATGATAGATAATAATTATGAAGTTCAATTTTCAACAAAATAAAACTAATCTAATTCAATGATTATTACTGAATAAGAATTATGACTGGAATATATGATTTGGCGGCTAGTTCAAATAACGTAATATATTTTACAAATAGCAAGACAGTGAACGTTTTCTCCAAAACGTTTTTCTTCGGCGAAGTAATTTAATTGTTTATTAAATTATGGTTATTTTTACAATTCATAAATCTTCAATATTCATGTGAATACATCAGTTGAAAGAAATGTAAGCCAGCGTAGTTTAAAATTTCAAAAAAGTAACTGTTTCAGTTACTTGTAAGAGAAATTTGTGAGTTGAGCTTAAAAATTTAAAGCTTCCTTGTTTTTGTAGATAACACAAGTGTATGAATTAAATTACATATCTTATGGCCCTGTATCTCTACTCTTATCTGATAGGTAGATAAAACAGACTCACCCTTTCATTCAAAGATATTTTAGAATTAGACTTTTAACATTTTTGTTAGCAATCATAAATACCCAATTTACAATAATATCAAACTATGTTGAAATACGTTCACCTTAGACTTCAGATTTAACAACAGTATATACGCTGAACTACCTTATACAGAGGTTTATTATATATATTAAAACAAATACGGAGAATCTCTACATCGTTGCAGTACATATCGCCACGGCCAGTCATGCTCTACTTGACGACCATGTATCTTGATAATAGTTGTGCAGCGTAGTTTCCATTTCAATAGGCTCTGTCGCAAGGCTGTCATTTTCGAAGCATACCACTGTTTCCTGCAAGCTGTAACTAAGCCATCTAATGTAAAAGGACTACGATTTCTCAGCGCGACTTTATATATTGACTGTGGTTGTTATGTTAGTTGCTGACTGTATACTAATCGTTTTAATATAACGTATTCAACTCTGTACTTGGTAAAGTAAATGACAAAATAGATCAGGGAGTTAAGGCCTTTTTATTTAAAGTTTAACACGATAACTTCGTTGATCTCATTAAAAATATTACAATTTAGATTACAGCAAATAAAAACGAAAGAATATTAAAGTTGACTGGCAAAAAAAACATATAAAAAATCGGCAATAATAAATGATCGTTATATCGATTATATTAACCAAATTGAATATATTTATTGTTGGAGATTAAATGTAACCACTGGTAGAGGAATAGGAATTTTTACCTTATGTTCACGTGTACTTAACGTCGAATCAGAGACGTCTGAGACTTTGTTCCTAATTTCGAACTACCTCCGCCGCCACAAGCTCCTTCGAAACGAATAATTGAGCATAACGTGTTCTGTTCAGCAGCTTTTCCTGGTAAACAAAACGTTTCGATTATCAGCCAGATATGCTAACCAGTCCAACTGCTTAGGAATAGATGGAGAAAGTGAACCAATTGCCCGAATGCCCAGCAGTATCGAAAGAAAAAAGAATCCTAGTAAAACCGATTAAATTAGATTTGTCTACGATAAAACATCGTAACAATAATAGAAGTTTTGGCGATTCTGTGTCAGGATTTAGGAATGACCCCCTAATGTTTTAAGCTAAAAGAAAAAAAAATATGGTATTTAATTCCAACCAGCCATACCTAATTGATCTTTGAGAAACTTCGAGTACCGGTAATTGCACCATTGAAGAATGCGATCATACTAAAACATTTTTATTATATATATATATAAAGAAAAATGATGTTCGGTAATTAGATGGAAGAGAGAGAGGCCAAGGGAATAAAGGAAGGAAACAAAATTACTGTACTTATGCGACTGAGGGAGAAGTTTTAATAGTTTGAGAGGGGTCATGTGAAAAATCTTGCCTTAGGACTTTCCAAACCCTTGTTAAGCCAATTAACCTAAACCGACTAACAAGAGAAAAGTTAAAAATAAATATTGAAAACGTTTTAGTTTCAATTTTAATTCTTATTCATTCTAGTTAAACTAATCACAGTAATTTGAAGTTTCCCAAGGCTGAATGTTTCAGACAACATATCCCTATTAAAGCTAAGTTTATTGCTTTTCTTAAGAAAGTTAACATGAATACTTAATAAGTCAATCTCTAATGATTTAAAGTTAAATATAACTTATGGTATATGATAATATTTGTTTAACATTTGGGAAATTATTCTTTTACTTTCTACTTATGTAACGTATATGTCTGTTTTCCCTTTATACAAGTTTAACATTTGGATAATACTGCTGTTACTTATTTTCACTGGCTTAATTCAGGTATCTTTTCATTGTACCTTTTTTCATGGAGCTAGACGTGACCTTGTGGATGACATACAGGACCGTAAACCCTAGGGAGTCGCGTCCCTTTGCCGCAAAATCGCGCTCAGGGTTCACTATAAAAGTGACAGTCAAACCCCACTATTCGATTAGAGTAATTCAATAGTTGGTGTTGGGTGCTGTTGACTAGCTAGCTGTTTCCCTCTAGCCTATTAGCTATTGTTATTTTTTCTGCCTGTTTAATGGTGGTATACGTTTGGTTGTCTTTCTATGCATATAAGCCCGGCATGGCCAGTTGGATAAGGCGCTCGACTCGCAATCTGAGGGTCGCGGGTTCGAATCCCCGTCCCACCAAAACATGCTCGCCCTTTCAGCCGTGGGGGCGTTATAATGTGACGGTCAATCCCACTGTTCGTTGGTAAAAGAGTAGCCCAAGAGTTGGCGGTGGGTGGTGATGACTAGCTGCCTTCCCTCTAGTCTTACACTGCTAAATTAGAGACGGCTAACGCAGATAGCCCTCTTGTAGCTTTGCGCGAAATTCAAAAACAAACAAACATTTGCACCTATGCATATATAATTATTATAGATTTCTTTTTAGCCATTATTTGTTTTCTCTCAGTAATATTGGGTAGATCATGTAATAAACCTTTTCTCCTGATTTTTCCTCTTTACATACATTTATGATAAACTTCTGATTGCTAGGTGAAAATATTTTAATTACTCGATGTCCTTGTTATTTCCATATGACATTAAATATAAAAAAAACGATTATATATTGATAAGTACTATAATTAAATTCCATGTTCAAGACTGAGGTAAAGATAGAGTTATTGTCTTACAGCTGCATAAATGACTCGTGTTTTCTATTTTAATCAAGGAGTATAAGCACAAAAGTTAGTTTGGTTTGGCGATTGATTATTTATTTATTTATTTGGTTCGCACACTATCCGTAATGAATACTCATTCTTTTCAAGCTCCACGTTAGCTTACTACTATTAATTTATTGCTCAATTTTGGAATTATACTTAGAATAACCATAACCAGCTGATAAAGGAATACGCTTTGTATAAAAAAACAAACTTTAGATATATATATATATATATATTTTTCTATTCATTTAATTCTACGCCTAGCCTGGCCTGGTTATTAAGGGCAGTCGACTCATAATATGCTGAACGCGGGCTCGAAAC